TTCCCGGGCGAGGCAGATCAGTCGCCGGCTTCTGGACGGCCGCTCACAGCGGCTGCTGGCCGCTCACGCCGGCTGCTCACGGTAGCCCATGGCAACCCACTGCCACAGGGGCTGCAGCCTACGCTGTTGCCGGCGACCCATGGCAGCCCAGCTCCAGGTTGAGCTGTTGTTCAGCATCTTAGCTGTAGAGGGCAGTGTCACTGGCCCTCATATGTGGGATCTGAACCGGGCCCTCTGGCGTCCCAAGCCAGCTCTTAACCATCGTGCCACTCGGCTGGCCCTAGAAGGTTTTTTTCATTATTGCAGAAAGTTCTATTGGACAGCGCTATTTAGGAAGGTGGCTGTTAGCTCCCTCCCTCTTCTTCTTCCTCTTTTCCAGACGTGAGGATGCTATGTTGTGTTTTATTTATTTTTTGACCATTTACAGCTGACCCTTGACCAAGATGGGGGTTAGGGGCATTGAGCCCTCACTGTCAAAAATCCTAGTATAACTTTTGACTCCCCCAAAACTTAAGTTGTCCCTCAGTATCCACAGGGGCTTGGTTCCAGGATCCCCCACAGATATTAAATCTGAGGATGCTCAACTCTCCTATATAAAATAGCGTAGATTGATGCATTGAGTTGGCGTCTGCATCCGCGGACTCCCAACCACAGATCGAAAACAGTGCAGGTATTTATTGAAAAAAATCTGCATGTAAGTGGAACTGCATAGTTCAAACCCATGTTGTTCAAAGATCAACTGCAATTCTGTGGTTCTCAGACCATGATGTTACAAGCTTCTGTTCCCTGCATTAGCCCTCCACCATGGGGGAAAAGTAAGTGGGAGAATTCTCACAATATGCTGAACTTTTAATTTTCTAGAATGTACCATATCCTCTTTCACTTTGGGGCCTTGACAGTACTGCTTGGAACCCTCCTACCAGCATCCCACTGTGTGTGGACTTCTCATCCATCATATTGCAGCTTAGACTGTCTCCAGGAAACCTTCCCCATCTCTCCTCCTTGCCCTGACCTCCAGCCTGGGTTCCGTGTTTCCTCAATTAAGCTACCATAGTAACCTGGCCTTCCCTTGCCTCTTAGTAGTGGCTTGTTTTCGGGCTTCTCTCTCGCACTGAACAGCAAGCCTGATAAGGCCAAGGACCAGTCTGACATGTTTGCTGTTGTATATTCACTCCTTGGTACAGTGCCTGGCGCTTAGGAGCTGTTCATAAATAACGGGGAAGGAAGGAACACAGCGCCGCACAAGGAAGGGGCAATAACCCAGTAGCTTAGTGTTAGGGCAGGGTTCCTCTCGCCTGGGTGTGGAGTCTGTTCCAGAAGGGTTTATGAGAGACAGCTTTCTGTCTGGCCACCTTTCAGAATACACATCAGTGCCCAGAGCTGTTTCTTCCGTAGTAATTTGCACCCCCTTTCTGGTTAAAGTTCATAGTTTTCATTTAATCGGAGGCACTACTGAAAAACATTGGCAAACTGAGATGATAATGGGTGAGTGATTCTAGGGAAAGACAGATGGGAAAGTAGAATTGAAGAATGGTGATAATATGATAGAAAATTCTGCTGCATCTGTCAGCAGGCAGCTGTCCTTGACATCATGGTCCAGGTCTCACCAAGCCAAATGACCTCCCAGGGAGGCAGCCATGGACAGGCAGGGTATTCTTTCAGAATAGGTAGCAGAAATCCTAACTCAAACTCACTTTAAAAATAAATGTATTTGCCCAAGTAACAAGAAATCTAGAGCTAGGAGGCTCAGAGTTCGTTGATTCGGTGTCTCAACGTCTAAGACCTCAGGTTCTCTCCCAAGCTCAGCCAGCCATTCTGCACGTTGGCTTCATCCTCCGACTGGTAGGGACATGACTGCTGTAGGGACAGGCATCCCATCTGGGACCTCATTGCCCAGATGAAGAGAAAGTGTCAGCTCTAGTCACAGGTGAGGGAAGGAGTTTCCAGAACTGTATTCAGTAAGGCACCTGGAGTAGATGCAATAACTACTGAGGTGGCTGCTATAAGCGCCAGGACCTTCCAGCTTCAAATAGCCTCCCCAACCCCAGCCTGTAGATTTTAAAAGTGCTTTCAGCCCTCACCATCACAGAAACCACTGAATGGGAAACCCTTGACTCGGTTAGGTAAAATCAGTTAATGCCTTCGAAGTGATCTTAACTAAGGGGACACAAACAGAACAGGAAGAGCTTCCAGGATGGAAAGAGAGAGTCTAGGAGAGGGCTCACCAGAAACCGTTTCTATTGGGTTGTCGGGAAAGTCATGATGTATTTTTTCTATGTTTTTCATTGCAAAAATGCATCATGACTTTTCCAACAACCCAATAATACTTAGCAGTCCTACTAGAGTCAGCCTGAGTCCAGCCATCATGAAACTCCCTCCTTGCCCTTAAGGATTAATCGCCCCCACCCCAGCTGAAGAAACACTGGTTTAATTTTAAATTTAGCAATATCCATACATTTATGATTTACAATGTAAATGGTATATTTTCTGACAAATCTGGAATCCTTCAACCCATCAGTTATGCTTTTTCTGCCAGATAGACCTCGCAGTGTTAGAGCTGTGCCGAATGAGGTCACAGTCTAACTACACTATTAACCCTGCAAATCTGTTCATTTTCGCCTGATCACCCTCAGGCAGGATATAGAATGTGTCCAATTGAAAAACTATTACAGATCCTGCAGTACTGTGATGGGCTGAATTATTACGGAGGGTGATGTGTGTGGGGCGTGTGTCTTTAGCCAAGAAATCATTCTCTAAAAGGAAGTCAGGTAGTATGTATCTCCTAAAAGTAGAGGTTATATGATTGCCTTTTCAAAGGGAAAATGTGCTGCTGTCTGTCATCCAGATTTTAAAATGCAACTTTTAACGTTTCTGACCCTTAACTGTTTTACGTTTCCTACCAACTGTCTTTGTGTTTTAATTTTTCCCCCTACCCAGTACCTCTTTGACTTCGTTTTTCTATGTTACAAATATCCTTTTGTATTTTTCAATTGTCTATTTTCTATTGTTTAAAATATATAGGAACATATAAAGAATAATATAATGAACACCCATAAACCCACCACTCAATTTAAGAAATAAAACCTTAACACTTTTTCTGTGACTGCTTCTGGGCTCTGTTTAATTCAGCATGGAGAAAAGCACAACACAGATGGTCAACATTTTGTGGAAAGGCCCAGCCACCACCCTGTTCGCAGTAGATGCAGGGTTTCAGAAAGCATGGGCAGCATTCACTGTCTTGCCTGGACATGTGGTTAATGCTAAGTAGTCTAACAGTTGTACCCCAGGTAACTCCTAAAGCTGTTTCAGATCATAAAAATCTATAATGTTTTGCAGATTTATATTTTATCATGCTGGGTTTTATGAACAAAAATTAGATGACTTCCCCTTTATAATCGCCATCAAAGGCATTTTTCAAAGTCCCTTTATTATGCCTCATCATTGGCTTTGGCACACATTGTTTGCATGTTTGAAAACAATCCCTGACTAAAGGATAAATCTGAGCGTATACTTGTGGTGTTCAGAATTTAGTCATAAATGTTATTTTTGCTTATTCGTCAATCGTGGACTCTAAATATTTGACGCCTTCACTGAGTGCCGGAGACCTGACTTAACGTGTCTATGGTTTGGGCTCTCGAAGCAGCCAACCATGTTTGGATAGTATTTGAAATATTTATATAATATCACATGGGAAGGATGTGCTATTTCATTTTCTCAAGAGCACCGTTTCTTGCACATGTTCTTGCTGCCACCATGTGACCTCCTCTTCCTGCCGTTGGCTCACATCGTACCTTTGCCTGTGCGAATAACACTGTACCTGGATGTCTGCCTCAGCGCCACTTGGGAACTTGGTTTCTTCCAGACGTCCAGCATAACGAAGAGCTGCTTACTCGGGGCTTAGAAGCGCTACTCATTACTGGAGGGTACAGACTTACCTGCAGGATACCTAAAACTGCAGATAGTACCGAACCTTCTGTGTACTCCTGAGTTTTTTCCTATACACAAGTACCTATGATAAAGTTGAAACTACTCTTGTGCTTTGGGGCCATTATTAAATAAAAGAGGGTTACTTGAACATGGGCACGGCTATACCGCAACACTTGATCTGATAACAGACCATCTGATAAAGAGACTAAGGGTGTGGTGCATCCAGAGCCTGGATACCCTAGACAAAGGGATGACTCACGTCCCATATAGGACAGAGCCGGATGGCAGGAGAGTTCATCATGCTACTCAGAAGGCACACAATTTAAAACTTAGGCACTTTATTTCTGGAATTTTCCATTTAATATTTTCAAATTGTGGTTGACTGTGGGTAATTGGAACCTCGGAAAGTGAAACCATGAATAAGGGGGGATTACTCTTCTCAAAGCGTCCCCAGGCCCACAGTCTTACAGGGAACAAATTGGTAGAGTGTGGATAGATTTTGTTTGTTAATCTGTTGACTGAGAAACTTGTGGTATCTCTTTCCAAGGAGTGTGTGAGCTGATGGCAAGACCAGTCATGCCCACTTTTTCCTGATTTGAAAAATAGAAATTGAAAAAAGTATTTTGCAGAACATGAGGGCTGATATGTTTGTATTCTGACTGCATCACAATAAGGAAGTTTTTAAAGAGAAGGCTAAAGCATACCTGTGTTATTTAGATATGCTTTAAGTGCTGATTACCTTTTCATTTGGAATGAATGGTACTTCTCCACATGCCCTTTACCGGTTGTTAAAAGTGAGAATCCATTAGTAAAACTCATCATAGTGCTCAGGATGATTTGAAATGAATGCCAGTTCAGCTTCTTGATCCTGTGCATGAGAACTTTTCGCTTTCTTTGTTACAGAATTTGTTTTTCTAACATTCATTATAACAAAGTGAGAGCTCGCTGGTTTTCCAGATTTTATTGCCCATTGAATATCATCTCTAGTCACTTACTTATTCTTGAGGATGTATGTGTTTCCTTTCTCGCCACTGAAAAAAGAAAACATGTCTAACTTGCTTATCTCTCTGTAGGACAGTCGGCCCAATATGTCAAGACCTCTGATCACTAGATCTCCTGCATCTCCACTGAACAACCAAGGCATTCCTACTCCAGCACAACTCACAAAATCCAATGCGCCCGTCCACATTGATGTGGGCGGCCACATGTACACCAGCAGCCTGGCCACCCTGACCAAATACCCTGAATCAAGGTAACTCAAAAAACAGAAACGTCATGCTCAGGAGTGCATGTATTTGATGATCTAACTGTTTTTCTTTTGACCAGCATAGCAGCCTGGCCTCACCAGGGCTGCCAGGCTTAGGACATGAAAGCACTGTGCGGGCCACCCTGCTACCAAGGCCATTCTTGGACGTGCTGTAAATCTTCTACGAGTCAGGGCTTGACTCACAGCTTAGTTAAGTACACGTAAAAATGTCACGTGAGAGTGGAGTTCTGGGATATTTTGCTCTGCAAAGATCTTCACATTTTTTTAGTGTAGTATGTAAAGGACAACGCTTTCTACCCCGTACCTGACTTCTGTCCTCTTCTTCTAAAACATACTTTCTTATCAGTTCTTAGAATTTTACAGATCACTTGGCCCACCCACTTGTGAACTAGAGAGAAAAAAAATGTAAGAGAGACTTATCAGTGAGGCAGTGTATTTAGAACAGTATTCAAAAGTTCAGGAAGCCAAGATAGTCTGGTTAAAAAAAAATATATATATATATGAAGGGCAATGGAACTTACAAGAGTTCAAGGCAGGTAAATAAATATAGAAACTGTATGAAGAGGGTGATTGGTTTACAAATAGGCAGTATACACGATGCTTATGAGATACCCCTCCCATACTTCCCCCTGCCCCTCCCCTCCACCACATGCGCTCGCGCGCGCACACACACGCGCACACACACACTCATTTTTAAAGGAGTTCCAAGGAAACAATTTCCTTTGCACCCCAGGACAACCCTCCTGGTTCTGCCTAGATTTGGAGGCTATGCCCAGATCCTATAAGGGAATTTATCTTCACCAGCTCTGCTGGTGGATAGGGTAGGAGGCGTAAGCTCACATGGCCTATCAGGAAAAAGCGTGTTTCTGTGCTTGTTTCTACTCATATGAAATGGAAGCACACTGCTTGGGCTCAGAAGGGTACCAGTTGCATTTTCAGGACCCTCTAAGAAAGTCACAGATAGCTTACAGCCTAAGAAGATAGCACTAACATAAAAATCACTGTCATCTTGATAACTGCATGAAGACTGGATTTTTATTTTTGTTTGGTTAATCTTATCCCACTACCTGATATTTTATGAGAGAATGTGAAGGTTGAGAAGAAAAAAGATGAAATATTTCCCTCTCAATTTCCAGATTTAATTTCTACAATCAAAATGAAATGATTTTAAAAAAAAAAGATATCTATTAATTCAGTTATCCAAAGTACCTATATATTTTTAAATGAAATCATCATTTCAGTTACTTATGAAGATTATTCAGTCCCCACCCTCCCTAAGTGCATTGTAGTAGGAGCTACAAAATCATGTTACATGATAGCTAAAATTTGCAAGAATATCATTATATAAGTAGTGTTCTTTTTTTAAATGTCTATTTCCATTTCTTCTAACCTTGTGCTCATACCAGCGGCAATAATAGAAAATCACTGTGCCTCTTCAGGTGAATACTTAATTCTAGGGTGCAAGTCACAAAACACACATAAGAGTTGAAAAGCAAAACTTCATCTGTAACAACATTCCCTGGTCTGGTCTGATGGATGACCTTTTGCTTCCGTCTGATGTTAAAACTTTGGTACAGGAGGGAAGTTAATAATGACACCGTTTGCACATGACATAAGCAGCAGGTTTTCTTCCAGGCTCATTGTAGCTAGGTAGGTCTCTTCCCACTGACTGAGGCCCCATGGGGTTTTCGGCCTTTGGGAAGCTCACTGGTATCACTGGCCCATTGGCAGTGGTAGAAGATAGAGTGTTAGAGGCTCTGTTTATTCAGTTCCTAGTTCCTCTCTCTCAAATAATTTGCCACTTTAATCATTCTGGTGCTTCATCTATTAAAGACCTAGAATAGTGTCTCACTGGGAGAGTCTTCCTCTGACCACCTCTCTGTGGGTATTTCTAAGAGTCTACTTTGTGTCCCTTACTAGTCCCACCTTGGGACATGCATCACATTCCATGCATCTCAGTACTCTTGATATCTGCACTGTCTCATGGCAGCCACTAGCCAGGTGAGCTAATGAGCGCTTGAAATGTGGCTGGTCCAAATTGAAATGTCCTCTAAATGTAAAATATACACTGGATTTTAAAGACTTAGTACAAAAAAAAAAAAAGTAAATTCTCAATAATTTTTTATATTGATTTCATGTTGGATTGATAATATATTGAATTTAATAAAATATGTCATTAAAAGTAATTTCACCTGTTTATTTTCACTTTTTTAATGTGACTACTAGAAAACACAAAATTACACGTGTTTCTTCCTTTTATTTCTGTTGGACAGTCCTTAAGTATACACAGATTTTTTTAAAAAGAAAACATCTAGTTAAGCCTACTCCTCCCCCAACCTGATACTTATATGCATCATAAATTGAATTTCCCTTTCACCAACTTAATTCGAAAAGATGTAATTGTTTATCTTCCTTTCTTGATCTTTTCCTATGCTTTCTTGTCACCAGTAGGCCACAGTATCATGGGAGCTACATCAAACATAATTTGTGGTTCATTAGTACCGGGTTTGAATGTTGGTGCAGCCATTTATCTAATAGTTGTTTGGCCAGGGATAGGTCCAATTTCTGAGCGCCTGTCTTCTCTCTTGTAAAGTCGACACAAATATATCTTCTTGCAAGGTTATTGGGAGGATTAAATGTGATTACGAAAAGCACGCCATGGCCTCGCGCCCAACGCATATAGTATTACCTTTATACTTAATCTTCTGCCAAATCCAGCAATTGCTTCTTTTCAAACTGCCTTCCAAATTCCAGATATATTTCATTCCTTTGTTTCCCAGACGATGGAAGCAGCCTCACTTCTGGATTCTTGCCTGATTTACTACAGGGTAAGGGACTCCTCCCCCTGCACCTCTGGCCCTTTATCTTAAAAGCCCCCACCTGCCGCAGCCCTGCTGAGCATGTCCAGATCATCTTTATCATTAGGAGATCTTTTGAAATGTGTTCCAAGACTCTTTGAAACAAGCCTTACGAAGTAACTTCTGTTTCTGTTGCTTACACTTAGAGCAGCTGACACAGGTTTAGATGTATAATTGATCACTGCGTGTTGCTATGCTCCCTCTTGGGTTTTTGTTTTTGTTTTTGTTTTTGGTAAGTAATTAAATGTTAATTTCCAAGCAACAGTCAGTTTAATGGGACCCATATTGCAAATGTTAGTAGTCAAACATACCAGGAAGAAATAGTTCTTCATGCTTTTCCAAGAGATGTCAGGTGTTCTTTCTAACTTCTAGGCAAACTTGTTGCATATCATCAGCTCTTTTGGTATAAATCCTAGGACGTCAAAATGCCCATGACCATAGAATTACAAAGAACTTCAGTTAGAATCCTCTAGATTCTAGGGTTCATTGAGCCCTTTTCACCCTATGGGACCCCGCCTCCCTCCTCCCCCGTTAAAGTACCCTGGTTCCTCTCTCACCTCCCTTTTCGTTGGTGTAGCCCAGAGGTGAGGAAGGCTTTTTCTCGGTTTGGTTTTCTAGGATTTCAAGGGTAGACTTCTAGTGTAATTTGTTTATAACAAGTAATCTTAAAAGGTGTAATGCCTTTCTACAGTTTCAAAGGTCCTGCAGAGGGGCCTTGACTCCATTTTGAAATACTGTAGGTGATTTTTTATTCTGTCTCTATGCATTGCCCTCTTGGCTAAAGACCACCTTTAGAACATTGTCCCCAGAAAGTGGTATAGTGTACCTCATGGCTGACCATTAGAAGCACCTGGGAAGCATTAAAAGGCCATCCAAGGCCCTGCCCCAGACAAATAAAACAGGAATCTATGTGATTTTCCTCAGAGATCCTGATTTTCACCATCTGGTTTTGAACAACACGAAAGCATATGGTCCTGCCAAGCGAATAGAAGCCTCTTCCTCAATGAATATTTCTTCTATATCATAATGGCCATTCCGTCGAAAGAAAATACCTTTGATCTTCATTTCTTTAATTACCAAGGTTACCTGGTTCCACTGTATATGCACCCATGTGCTTTTTTTTTGTTTTTTGGTTTTTTTGGCTTGTAAGCCCTGAGTAGGGATTCAATAAGCAAGTTAATTTTACATCTCACAAGGTTAACCACACATCAGGTGTTTTTTTAGCTAAAGGGACTGAAGTTTTGAAGTTATCTGAGGTTTTGCCTGCATCAGTGATACGCTCTGTGTGAGATGCAAAACAGCTTTGGGAGGTGTTGATGAGACAGGCTGATCCACGCCACCTCAGTGATAAACACTGTTCCCTTTTAGAGGAGACTATGAGTCTCCAATTCTGGTTGCTGTTTTGAATTGTAATCACCAAGAAAAAAAAAAACAAAAACGTTCAGATCTGCAATCATTTTACATTAAATAAGTAAAAAAAAGTCAAGAAAAATATATCACCATCATGAAAAGATTTTAAATGGATACACAAAGAAGATAGAACATATTTTATTTAACAGTTAGTTAGCTTGATTTATAAATTGTAAATACCTAGACATATGAGAAGGAGGCGGGTCTCACTTGTACACTTGCCTTGAGCCCTGCAAATTTTAGGGACAGACCTGATTATGTCTGATTCAAAAATCCAAGGCATCCTTCTTCATATCACTGATAACAAACAACCTAGGTATCTAAATAATTTGTCGTAAGTAATTAAGATTGGTACCCAAATACATGGTCTTCTTAAAATCTGTTGATATTCTGAAATGTCTTCTGAGCCACATGTGTGTGATATTAAAGAAACGCTCTCTGATTAAAAGAAGACAGCCTGAGTGCAAAGTTAGGCCTGTTTCATCCTTTATTGTCACCTCAAACGAAAACAATATTAATAGCAGCTGTATTGATGGTTATTCAGATATGGACTTTTTAAAGCCAGAAAGTGAGCTGACACCAAACCTATTTGCTAATTAACCAAACCTTTGTTAATATAAGCTAATTAACCAAACCTGTGGGGTGGTAATGAGGCAGGGGTCTTGGCTAAAAGAGCTGACTGCCAGCCAGCAACCTAGAGGTGAAAGACAAGATCTC